AGGAAATTTACCCTGTAGATTTTTTGCCTTTTTCAAATTGTAATGTGGTACTGAAAACTGTTTCGGTGATAGGTTTTGGGAGGAAATTTACTCCGTAAAATCTAGCTATGTATACAATGGTTTGCTTTCTTTAAACTTTTAATATTCGCACCAATAAATATCTTGTAAACTGTGTTATTTGTTGAGTTTTGTCAATACCTAAGGGCAATATGCTTAAAACAGAAAAAAAGATTTTCTGTTTTGATTTTGGAATGCGTTAAATAATAATTGTATTAAGGTAGGACACAATAGCTAGGCCAAATTTTCCCTCAAATTCAATTTTCCTGAAACTTTGTTATTTTGTTCTATGATACAAAATTTCTCTTTATGTATGATTTGAAAGAAATTCAACTGCACATTTTTTGCCCACATAGTCTGAAATATGGCCTATCAGACCCCTGTAAGAAGATTTTGAAATAAGACATTTGACTTGAGAAAGTTTAGAATTATCAATTGATCTATTGCAAATTTGTGTAATACTTTTAATAAAGATAACCTTTTTGTTTCTTTAAGTTAGTAAGTCAACCTGATACCGGAAAATTTGAGTAAAATATTAAGTAAAAATCGAACATACATAGCGTCGGAATTGAAAATTTACATGTAATTATCCGACAGTTAAGTTTTCTTAAGAGAAAATGTATAATTCAATTTTTACAAAAAATCAACAGAATGATTCAAATTGGTCCTAAAATAAAATGTGTAAAAATAAAGAAAATTGAACTGGTAGTTTCAGATATTTTTGCGATCAAAAAAATTTCAATGGCCAAAAACTAAAAGATTCAGTAGATGACGTCACAATATTTGACCTTTGACCTCTTGATATGACCTTGACCTTAGTAGTACATAACGAATGGAGACTCCTTATATATGTGTCCAAATATCATTTCTCTACTATGTATGGAACAAAAGTTACACTGCATTTTATAAAAGACTGTCACATGCTTGTTTATTACACTTAATTATCATAAAAACATTCCAAAATGTAAGCCCACAAGTGACCAATATATAGGATTCTCTGATTTTTTCACAAATTTGATGCAAACGTGCCAAACTTATTATTTTTCTGAAAGTGATCATTCATTGTTGTCAATATACAGTGAAAACTGTCTAATCCGACACCTGAATAATCCGACACACTGTGAATTCTGACGTTAAATTTCTTTCCCATTTTACAATTTTCCTTTCTTTTTGACACTGTGCAATCCGACACCCTGTCTATTCCGACACAAAATCTGTCTCCCATTGCATGTCGGATTAGACAGGTTTCACTGTAGTAATATTATTTTTCTTTTCTCCGGTACTTTTTAAGAAATGGGTTAAAATAGAATCCACGGGTGTTTTGTCCTATCTTAAAGTATCGTAACAATACTGAGGTGACCTAAAAGGCCTGTTAGCCTTTTGTTATATAAAGAATGCTTTTTCATAATTATATGATTGGTGTGTGCATTTATGCTTAACAGGATATTTCACATATGTTTAAAGGGTTTTTGATAATGAAGTGATATCCCCTATTTATTCACACTTATTAGTTCTTCTTTCGTGGGCAGTGTAGAGAGTGTTCTCGGAAATATTATTCTTCCTTCAAGCTATGTTCTCAACAAGGAAGTTTATTTTTAAAGTGACTTTATCATGTTTGTTCTTTTTCTTAATATAGTTTAAATGGGAGAGTGATGTCCCCAATACACAGTTAAAGTATGTGGTGATCTATTTCAAGTGCCTACTTCAAGAAAAGTGATGACCAGATTCCATGATCCAATTTCATTTTTTTAACTAATTATTTTTTTTATTCTTTTAGTCATTTAATTTGTAAAAAAAAACGTTGCATGCCTAGATTTGAAAATGTATTCCCGACTGTTTAAATCTAGTTCTTTTACAAAAACAATTTATTTGCTCAAAGATGTTTCAAACTAGATCAAATAAAAAATGAAATAGTTTTTAAATCAATATAAAAGGTTCATAAAGCACAATGTATATTCCGTTTTGCATCACAAGGTACAATAAATTGGTAATTTATTTCTTCTTTAGAATCTATGCAATTCTCTGCCCCCAACCCCCCCAACCCCCCGAAATGTTACAAAACAAAAAATGAAATTGATACAAGTAATAGATGTCTATAAATTCGCTCTTGCGTACATCTGAGAGGACAAGAAGGATATAAAGATAACGAACAGTATTTAATCTCAAAGTCCATGAAACAATACAAAATAAGAGCAGAGCAAACACGGACCTCCGAATCAACAGAGGTGGGATCAGGTGCCATGGAGGAGTGAGCATCTCCTGCCGACCGGTCACATCCGCCGTGTGCTCCTTGTCATGATCAGGAAATAACGGAAAAAATCCGTCGTCAATTCAGTACATTGTATATAAATAATGGACTAACATTTGGTATGAAAAAGTCAGTCAGCATTTGACTCAATTATAAATTGTATTTGCTGACAAGGTCATTGTATCGACCATAGAACTTACGAAATGATGACTTCAAACGAGACTTCTGATATTCTTGATTCATCAACTTGCTTGTCAATAATTTACTTCGTTTCAGAAATTGTTCATACGTAGAGCATGCTCTTGCGTATCGAATCAACTGAGATATATATACTCCGTATGCAGGTGATGAAGGTATATTGCTGCATAAGTAAGGGAAGTTGACGATAGAAAAGTTTTAAAAGTCATCACGTTTATCATATAGTTTGGTTGTTAGATTACCATTAGCGTCTTTTTCAAGTAAAATATCCAAGTATGAAACAGAAGTGTCAGACTCAGTGGTGTCTTTTATCTCAAGCTCACCAGGATATATCGTATCGACATAGGAATGGAAGTTACCATTGTTAATTAACTATACGTCGTCGATATATCTAAATGTCGAGTTAAAGACCTCAGCAAGTGTTTTCTTCTTTTCACGCATAAGATTTTGCATCAAATGAATGTAAAAATAAGTCTGCTCATAACGGAGCGCAATTTGTACCCATGGGAATTCCAATAGATTGTTTGGGATACCTGGTCTCCAAAAACCACATAGATATTGTCAATCAGAAACTCGAGCATCTTCTTGATGTCAACTTCAGAGTACTTATGTGTGCAATCAGAATCTGTTTTAACAAAATAATTTTGCAAATGACCAATGACGAGGTAAGTAAATTTACGAGTTCCATTTTTATTGAAGAAGCAGCTGTCAATGATATCAGAAAGCTTGGATTTTAATTTGTCGTGGGGAATTGTTGTGTATAAAATTGAAAAGTCGTAAATTTTAAGCTGGTGATTTTTGTAAAGTCTTGTGATTTCAATTGTCTAAGAGTTCTTTAGAATTTTTGAGTATCCATAATTGATTCACACCACTTCTTGGATATATAGTTGAGCAGTACTCTTGAGGTTTTTTCTTCACTACTGTCAATATCTTAGTGATGAGTAATGAAAGAGGCTTTGTTGAACATTTACTGGAACCTGCAAAATATATTTGTTTGTAAGGATTCTTAAGAATTTTCGGAATCCAATATATATAAGGTAGTTCAAATTCAATTTGGCTCTGTGGAATATTAAAAGTATTCAAAACTGACACGTGATTTTGAAGAATTTCTTCCTTACAAAGGGAAGTCTGAGTATAAGTAGGATTACAATTTGTAGAATTAAATCTAAGTTCTTCTAGAATGCAATTAACGTAATGAACCTTACAAACGAAGATAATGTTGATACCTGTTTTTCAGCAGGAACCAGTACGTACTGATCATGTAATCTATTTAATTCTTTTTTCACTTATGGTTTATTGAACACAGAAGGATAGATGGTTTACATTTTGCCCCTCAATCTCTTAATACGCGTACTCAACATAGATCTAATACATTTTATCCATTCTGACAAGGTGTTAACGTCTTCTTCTTCATATCTTGCCCATCGTATGGCGTAATTTTCAACAGAATCCATAATATTTATGAAATTCCGACGCCAGTTGAAGGATCGGGGTTTCCTATATTTAGGACCTTTTAAAATAAGTGATCTAAGGTCTTCATTACCAACTATATTTACGTCAACTGTAGTAAGGTGTCTAGCAGGACTATAGTTATAGGGCGAAGAAGAACATGAACATGAATGAGGATTATGTTTCAGATAGTCGGTATCCAGGCCATGTAAAGTATTTTTGTAATTTAAAAGTTTGGAAGCGATGGTCGATGTATATTTGTAGGTAATACAAGATGTAGTCTTAACTTGAAATATGGTGGAATACAAGACTGGACTCTTTTGTGATTAAGACTATTACTTATATTAACCGCATCAATTCCTCTATTGGCATATTGAAGGTTAAGGAAAAGACGGATTGTTTTATCTGCATTTTCTTCCGTGAAACGTGCGGGTTGAAAAAGCCTATACTATGCAATATCCATAATCACAGATTCGAGCCTATATTCAGTTGACGAGGAATCAAAACATGGACGTTCCTTGGCCTTTTCAAGAAGACTTTTTAAAAGTTTGAAAGGGACAGAGGAAAGGTTTGTTCGAATTTGAACTTGAATTTGAATTGAATTTGAATTTTTTTTTCAAAGTGCGTTGATTTTGTCCACATTTTAACGCACTTTGAATAGTTTAAAAGTAAATATTTTTTTTCAAAGTGTGTTGCCACAAATGTGCAATGTTTTTTTTTTTATTTTAAAATGAACAAATTAAAAAAAAATAATATAGAGGAGCGCTTTGTTGTAATCAGAAGAAAAAAAAATCTAATAATGCATGCAAAAAGTAAGAAAGGACAAAACATTTATATTGTTCGGTTCCTTAAGAGAACTTTATACGGTAATAACCAATGGTCGCCCGAAATCAAACTTTGATGGAGAAATGTGTAATTTTGTTCTAAAACAGGGGGATATCTGCAGACTTCAAAGCACTGAATATTTTCATAAGGTGAGGTCTATACATGAGTGAAGAATTCTTGAATGGGACGTAAAACACCAACAATCAATCAATAAATCCAATATAATAATAATTTATTTTCCATAATTTCAGCTTTACTTCTAGGTCATCCAAAAGCATCTATTAAACTTGAAATACTCTTAACGAATAACATATAGTTTTATGTATATACTCATTGACAAGCTAGGATGCATTTATAGAAGCTTTTCCAACGAAATATTTAAAGCTTTTTTTCGCATATAAAATAAAACTCATGAGAGCAAATGCTATCATTCCACATTCCTGTTCTGTCGGGATGTGTGGAGATTTCAATATAGTCTTCCTGGCTTTTGTCGTTATTGGGTTCTCCTTTGTTCCAGTCCGTGAATGTCAGGGAACGTCCGGTAGACGCCCATACAAACCTCCCCTCGATGATCTCATCCGTGCCCCCAATCCAGTACAATCCTTGTAAGATGGATAAAATGTTATATCATGATAATACCAGAAAGGATGTAAGTACTATGGAAAATAAAATTATACTTAACATACTTAATTTATCATAATTGGTGATTTTTTGCTTCAGAAAATAGTTCTCTTCTCTTGTCTCTATCTCGACCAATTTTGCACCGTATTGTAGACATTTTATTTGAAAATTTCATTTAACAAATGAAAAAGTAAAAAAAAAATAGAATTGAAAAGAGAATGTGATCAATATTCTGGTTATGCCGCAGGCCTTCTGAAAAGATTTGATCAAGTTCCAACCCACTGCAATTCCTAGTGAAGTTCTTAGTTTGTATATTTTACTTATATACCGTTATACATTTGAGGCAGAAAATCGAATAAATTCGAATACAATATTGCAATAACTCTTCGTCGTAGATTTAAACAAAATAATGCAAGATGTAAATCAGCTTGAACGGCAGTTACACTTCAAATTCATCAGACGAATTATCCTGTTTTGAAGGTACAGTCAAACTTGTCTTAGCGGCCACCCGAAATCAACGGCCACTCGTGGTCAGCGGCCACTTTCAGTTCCCCCCGACGATTTTTCCTATTTATTTTTAACTGGAATAAACGGCCACTTGTGTAACGCGGCCAGCGGCCACCCAAATCCTCCCCCAACAGCCTTATTGACACTGTAATAGGCGGTCATTTCATCACTTGTCGCGGTCCTATTACATCTTTTAAACACATTGACTTGGGTAATTATATCCTCGATAGTAAATTTAACCTATTAATCCAATTAAAAAAATTGCTTTTAGATACGCTGAACTCTGTTTGTGTTTATGAAAAATAAATATTTGTCCTGTTATATCAATTTGTAATTATTTTTCAAGATCGCCGATTGAAAAATTAAAAGAATTTAATTACAATTGATACTTTCCTCTAGCTAAAGAAATTCACACCTTTTAGATTTTGATTCCATGAAGAAGCCCTAATTGTTACTCTTGTGAAAACAAAGTGCTTCATGTGCCATGATTATCTCGTGAATTTCACTATCAAGAGACTATCAATAGGGATTAGTTACGCTCTACTGCACGTGACACCTGTGTTATGGAATGATTTCAACTGCGTAAATACATCTCTCTGGTCAACTGGTGAATTTTATTTGTGTGTCTGTGTATGTTGCATAGACATGATAGAAATTCTGACAGCTTTTTTAAACAATAAAATTCACCAGACTTTAAAAAACATTAGCAAGTAAGTTAATTACTGATTAATTAAGTTGGGAGGGGGGGGGGTGTTACACTGCTGACCACTTTTTTAACATATGCAAGTGAACATATTCTTACTTAAATTCCTATGCTTTATTTTATTCACCATGAAACTGTATTTTTGTGTAATTTTTTTTGTTTATAAAAAAGGATAATAGTCAGGCACTGTATGTATTTCTTCATTGAAAATTAAAAGAATTTATTTAATATTTCAATGTAACAAAAGCACACTGATGAATGCAAGATTTTTAACTAATATGTAAGAACAGAAACATGCACGAAACCTTTAACATTTCGAATTCTTTAATATTCTTTTTAAATGAGCTTGAGTTATTATATATTTACATAAAAAAGCTTTTTTTGAAATTGACCTATTTAATTATGATTAATAAATTAAACTGTAGTGCTTAATTTTGTTTATTTATTGACCGAATGTCCTTTTCGAGGGCAAACTGGAATAAGAGGCCACCTGTCTTAAGTGGCCAGTTTCCAGACTTCCCAAAAGTGGCCTCTTAAAACAAGTTTGACTGTATTATATTGCAAAAGGCTAAACATACTATTGGTCAGTTATTGTGAGTATATTGATGTCTTGAAATTGTGGATTCGTGAGAATCCTTATCGATACTGGAAAGGCACAAGAATCACGTCCGAAGTATGAGAATAAAACCTTAAAGGAATTTCGGTCGAATAGGAATAGATTGAGAAACATGTCTGAGCCAGCTAAGTTATCAAGAGTAAAAATTATATTTATTTAATTTTCTTGAGTTTTTTGTGCATATTCATACATGAAAACCATACTCATTGCTAAATGGAGCAAGTCAGTTTATCTTTTTATAATTGCACATTAAGATTAGGTCACTTTATGACTAATGATCTGTGAAAAATGTCATACCTTGTTGACAAGGTCATTGTATCGACCATAGAATTTACCAAATGATGACTTTAAACGAGACTGCTTATATTCTTGTTTCATCAAAGTGCTTATCAACAATTTACTTCATTTTAGATATCGTTCATACGCAAAGCATGCTCTTGCGAATCGAATCAACTGAGATATATACACCAAGTATGCAGGTGATGAAGGTATATTGCTGCATACGTAAGGGACATTGACAATAGAAAAGTTAAAGTCATCACGTTTATCATAGAGCTTGGTTGTTAGACTACCATCAACGTCTCAGACTCAGAATCAGACTCGCTGATATCTTTTATCTCAAGCTCACCTAGATATATCGCATAGACGTAAAAATGGAAATGACCATTGTTAATTGATAATACGTCGTCGATATATCTAGATGAGACCACAGCAGGTGTTTTTTTTATGCATAACATTTGAGGAAGACGACAAAATAGGTGATAATATTCGATCTAATACTATATCAACAAGATGTGCCCCCATATGGCCAAGGATATCATTTTGAAAGGTGGCTCTAACTCCAATGTCCTAGGTCAAAGTTATTTGTTTCTCAAAAAAGGTCTGTCACAAGGATTTCATATGTGAAGTATGGAAGCCATAAGGTCCTAACCGTTCAAAAGTTATGGTCAGGGTTACAAATTTTAAAAGAAGGTCAAACTACAAGGTCAAAGTTCTTGATACTAAATATCAAATGAAATGTCCTGTCATGACGAATGTAAATAATGAAAACACTACCCCTAACTTTTTAAAAGTTATAGTCAAGGTTTTATTAAAATAGGTCAAACTCCAAGGTCAATGTCAAAGAAGGGTCAACGCTCTTTGGTATCCGATGAAGAGTCTTATCACATTGAAAATCATTTTCTTCCTTTGTTTTGCACCGCACTGTTGACACTCCATTTACAAAGTTCAGTTTAAGCAAATAATACAATATTTTATCTTTGGAAGAGACTTAATATCATCCCACAGATTTAGAAAAGTGAATAATTCTATGAATTCCCTTTCTTTAGATAGGAGAATAAATATTTGCTATATTGCCCCCAAAAGATACACAACAAGAGAAAAAAAATGGTAAAATCATTAAATATTCATTTATTTACTTTTTTTCAAAAATATCTCCAAAGGATCACAAAGTTAACTGATATTACATTTCTTGCATAAAAGAAGGGACACTTGGAAAATATCAGTTGATACGTAAAAAAATGATCATAGACAAATCATACCCGTAAGGCTTACAGATGCAAGTCATGTTATTCTCAGAGTCTAAGGATTGATTGGTTTATTTATTATATAGTGTTTAAAGACATTCGCTCAAATATATAGAAAATAAGTAGAAGGAAATATAGAATTTTCCACTTTTCAACAACTACATGTATGATATGATATTAAGTCTCACCCAAAGAAAAAAAAAATTGTTTGCATCATCTGTTCATAATAACAATGAAAGAGGCAAAGAAAGATTGAATAAAAAGATCCACAAACAATAGAAATATATGATAAGACTTTAAGACACAGACCCCCAGAAATCCAAAAGGTTGTATCAGGTGTGCATGTGATGGTAGAGGTAAATCCGTCAAACCCACAGCGAATCATATGTGTTGATAATATATAAAAACATTCTGTGGCCGAATGAGCACATTATAAAATGTATTAACGAAAGTGGGACCGTATATTAGGTAGGTTATATTTGCAAACAAAGAAGTCATCATGACTATAAAATAATGGAAAAACTGAGCACCCTTTCAAAATAGTTTTGGCATTCATTTAACCACTACTAATTTTAAATTTTAAGTGAAGATGCTTACACTTGCAATGTCCCACGACTTCGCCAGTGCTATGATTTTGTAGCAAGAAGATCCAAATTTTTCCCAGTTTGATGGACATGATTTTGTGGACCAATCTAAATTTAAGAAAAAAAGAAAAGAAAGATATACCCGTTTGATATACTCGATGCATCATTACTGACTACGAGTTAACCCTGTGTCAGCTATCGATTTAAGTTAAATGTTCTCTTCAAAAATATAATTTTTGAATTGTAATGTTCAACTTCTGTAGTATTTGAGTAAGGATTATGCCTAGAAGACAAAAACATGTTTTTGTGAAGATCGATATATATATACACTGAATGCTTTAAAAAAAAGAAAAAGGTATACATAAGGGGCTTTTGAGAAGTTCGCAGCACACATAAAGCTTATTCATATTTTTTTAAAGAAATTAAAGTAAGGATAATATCATATGCACAAAAATCCTTCATATGTGAATACTGTGTGTTACTTTTTTCTACGTTAAGGAAATCGTATAAATGAATTAATAAACCAGCAGATAACATTGTATCATTAAACACGCCTTGATTCTTAAAAAAATACATTATCTATACAATTCACACAATGCATGTACGTCCTTATATTTATTCATTGAAATAAATCTTTTATACTTGAAATGTATGTTGCTAAAATTTCCCCCAGTAGTTTAATTTCTGTTGTCAATGTTATATCATTTAACTGCATTTGTTCAGGTGCTGTGATTTGCATTACTCATATTTTACGCTTTTTATAAGATTTTACAGGTAATCCGTTTCCTCATAAAGTGTAAGACAGACTAATACAGGGTCACTATTATTCAAATACCGCTGTTGTGCCATTGACACATACATACACACCCTCTCACCCTCCCTCACACACCCTCACACACACACCCTCTCACACCCCCCCCCCCCCCCCACACACACACAGAGAGAAACAACTCCTTCTTTAGACATATATTTCTTGTTTTCACCAGTATTTATAATTTAATTTGTATTTTTTATTTTTTACAGAGAATATAATAAAGCTATTATTTGTATGATATGTAAATTGATACATTGAATCTGTTTTGCCCTCTATTTTTTTTTAGATTTCATGGGCTTTTATTCTAAATTAGTTTGAAAAATGATTAAAAAAGCTATATTTTGAAATAAGACAAAATAACTTTTGATACACGTCATTGGTCTTTAATGTAAAAACATTCAAAAATAAAACAAATTTAGTTAATTAAAAAATATTAAAAAATTATAGAATCAATTACTCTATCGTACCAGGGTTGTCCCGTAAAAACGTGGACAAAGCGTTTTTCTCGAAAAGTAATAGGCGCTCTAAGCTGAAATTTTCAGTAAATGTTTATTCATCATATTTAAGTGACTCATAATGTTTTTGATAATATATATTCAAAAATAAATATTTTATTCCGCTTGAATGTGCACAAGGTACGTTCCTACGGCGCACGGTAAAAATAGCAAGGTAATATTAGAGAAGACATAAGAATTAATTCGTAATAAAAGTTTTCAATACATAAGATTAGGATGAAAATTATCCTTATTCCATTCCTTAATCAATTCTGTCCTTTTTTTAAAAAAAATTCAAGATATTTGGTTAATTTTTGGCAGTTTCCCGAGCATTCGAAATGGGAAAGTTATAAACACAATACACGAAAAATGGCGATTTTTTTATGACGTTACGGCGCACCGAAGAGCAGTTCACATAGATTAGGATGTTTTAATGACGCCTTAAAGGACTTTAAATCAATACAGAAGAAAGAAAATATGAAAAATATCACCAGATCTTTAGTATATAAATGAAATGAAAGTTTTCTTCGCGAAGTCTTCGTGGTCGAGTCCCCAGATAGTACAAAACATATGGACAGACTGCCATTTGTAATAGCAAAGGACGCTGTCACTGTCGACCGTCGATGTGAGATTCATTTTGAGTTGAATGATGGTGAGAATACTGTCCGTAACTTGCTAATAAATATTCAGAAGATCGCACGAGTGTGCCACATTGGTTTCTTAATTGGTTATAGATACTCGCATATGTAAATCAATAAAAATTTCTAAATTTAAGTGGGGCTTATCCAACTTTAAGTTTAGCAAAGATGAAACTTGACACTGTTTTAGACACTTTGACGTTATCATCCGTGCGCCGTAGGTCGATACAGTACATAGCTTAAAATATCACAATATGTTTACTTATGCATATATCTATTTGCAATTTGCTATGTATATTCATAATTTATCTACTAAAGACTGGTGAAAATTTCAGAACGCAGTGATGATTATTTTTCAAACTAGACAACTTGTCCACGATTTTACGGGACAACCCTCGTACAACCATGAGTGTCCCTTGTATATTCCAAACATAGAGAGAATATAATGAAAAAAATATTGCTATTGAAATGCGCTCTCAACCACTATTGAATGATATAATTATTTCAAAAGTGGTCGTATTTCAATAGTGGTTGTAACAATGCACTTTACAAATAGATCCATGTTCCTACGTTAACGATACTTATGTTTAGTTGGTCATAAATTGTCCATCTAAGTCAAGATTTTAAAGATAATCTAAAGATAAGAAAGATCTTCCTCAAAAATCTAATCCAACAAAACAGATTGCATACAGAACAACCATGGACTTCGAAAACACAAAATGTAATTTAATGCGATGGAGGAGCGAGCATTTTTTTTACCGTTCAAACCAATTTTCAGGTCTTTCAAAAGCTCATTCAAGTAAATGAAATTCAGGAAATGAAGCTTAATATTACCATTGGTTAAATTTGTTACTTTTTCCCCAGGTTTGTGAGTTTAGTTTGCATCCTTTCTTCTGTTTGTAGAAGTTTAAAGTTTTGATCTAGAGAATAAGGGAAAGGTTTCATTAAGATATCTATCATATATACTACGCATATTATAAGAAGAATATATTGGAAGATTTAAATGAATATTTTGATAAGTATGTTTAAATTATATTTCCAGATCTGTTTCTACCTTGATTGGGAATTGCTCATTCACGTATATGGAATTCAGCAAATCAAGCAGCAAACTTACCTTTGGTTGCATTTGTTACTGTTTTTTCCAGTTTTGTGATCTCAGATTGCATCCTCTCCAGTATTGGAAGGAGCTTAATATCTTGCTCTAGAAGAAAGCATGAATATTTTCTAAAGATATTATATAATGAATACATGAACACAGGAGAATTAAAAAATGATTACAATGAAGATATACACATATTGAGTATTAAGGATACTGTATGTGTTATGTCTTCCCATCTTCTATCTGTCTCTCTTGTTTATAACCATTTTTGCTTTATTTGCCTAAAACGCTTTTCTTAATTAAAATACTTTCATAGATTTCTTTTACATGAAGGATATGGAGGTAACGAACAGTATTCAATACAAAATAAAAGCAGAGCAAACACGGACCCCCCAAACTTCAGAGGTGGGATCAGGAGCCACGGAGAAGTTAGCATTCCCTGCTAACTGGTCACACCCGCCGTGTCATGACCGGGAAATAACGGAAAAATCTGTCGTCAATTCATTGCATAAATAATGAAATAAAATAAGTATGAAAAAATTCAGTCAACATTTGACAGAATGATAAATTGTATTTGCAGACAATATCATTTTATCGACCAAAGATCTTACGAAATATAAACTTTTGATACGATCAAGTATTATATATTACATTTGTTTGTTTTTCGTGTGCATGTATGGTAAGTCTACACCGACATTTGCTAACCGATGCAATATGACGTGATAGTAAGCTACTGTATGTGTACTTATAAAGCGGTCTTCATATTTTAGCGGCTTTTGCGCAGACAGCGATGCGCTAACTCACGAATACCGTGAGCGAATGAATACGATATGTTGTCTTTATTTTATTTGCTTGGATTTACCATTCCATCAGGTCTCAAACAAGAAGGATATGGAAATAACGAAAAGTTTTTAATATCAAAGTCCATAAAACACAAAAAATTTGGAGCAGAGCAAACACGGACCTACGAAACATCAGAGGTGGGATCAGGTGCCATGGAGGAGTGAGCATACCCTGCTGACCGGTCACACCCGCCTTGGGCTTCTTGTCATAATCAGGCAATAACGAAAAAAAAAAACGAAAAAAAAAAACCAAAAAAAAAAAAAAAAAAAAAACGATGATCCCGATTTAGTCGTTATTTATTCTATTAGGCAATAACCCTTTACAAATGTATGCTAATGTATATTCATTCAGATTCACTTTTGAAGATAATTTTTTTCTATAAAATGTGTTATTGGCACTTGTCCCTTGGACCAACTGTGTGGACTAGCATGCTATCTATGTGAATCTGGACAATGTACAGATACGTATGGTATTTAATACTTCCCTGACATAATCATTAATCATAATCATTTTATCCTTCTAGAAATTTAAATCTAAAGTTAATTGTTTTTAATAACCAGTTATTGGTAAATAAACGCTCAATAACCAAACTACGACTCACAATACGAGGCTTTTTTTCCGCCAAGTGGACACGGCAAATAAAAAGCAATAATCTAATGCCATTTTTAAAAAATTAGTGAAAGATATTAAAATTTTACTGATTTCACAGACAAAAAAATTATTTTTAATTTATAATTTTTATATCCATATCCGATGTTTGAGCTAAATTTTATATATCTTAAGGATTTCAATCCCTAATGGGACCAAATTCTCTACCCTTAAATGTCCGTCAAGTACACAATACTCTGATATTATATTAAAGCATTTTATAGTGGAAAAGGATTGCCCACGAGAAATTTTCAAAAAGTTCATAAATTAAGGAGTAGTTAATTAACAAAGATTGCATTGAAGACTATGGGGAAAACGTTTTTTCAAAATGAAAATTCAAATAATTTGAATATCAATAAATCCTGTGGTGGAAAGATGCATTGAAATATTAAAAATAGAATGATAATTGAAAACATTTTTTTTACCAGCTAAATTTTTTTTAATTGATATTTTTTTTATTAATTAAAAAAGGGGAGATAACTCTTACCAAAATTCAAGGTCATAAATTAGAACACATCCCACTAAACATACTTATGGTAAAAAATGGGAACTATGTCGAAATAAACTGAGTATTGAAAGCCTACATATCTGGGGTCTGTTTCACAAACGTTTCCTAAGATATGTCGTAAGACATAACTTAAGATGTGCCTAAGTTATAACTTAGGAAGTTCCTAAGATTTGTCACAGCTGTTTCACGAAACAATCTTATCTTAAATTTTTCCTATGTAATTTCTTAGGTTGTTTAATAAGGACTAATGAAATAACTCCTCCGCTCTATCTACAACTCTCAGTATGTCAGTCTTGGTTATATTTTTAGCTTCAAAAAGGGAGGGGATTATCCCCACTTTCAAAGGACTTGGACAGAAGTACATGTATACGTATGTTTTAACTTTGCGAAGTTTGCTGCTAGAACTAAGCATTCATAAACACACCCTTTCGAACCTTCTTCCTTTCCGAGCACATGTTTAAATATTGTTCCACGTTTTATACGTTTACTTTATTTTGCTCTTGATAAGGTATCGATCCCAGGTATTGTTTTTTACTATACTTTTCTACTTGTCAATTATTGAATGAAATTTAAAAATGATTGCTTCGTAGCGAACACATGTGAGGGCAATAAAAAAATATGCTTTTCCAATGGCTGTTCCACGTAGTTGTTCGTGCTATGTAAAGCTTTCTCACATATATAAAATAAGAATGCTATGCTAGAAAAAGATCCCAAATTCGCGACTACAGATATGAAAATACTAAAAGAAGTTAAAAAAGGAACATTATTGAAATTTCATGCACAGCTATACATTGTATTAAGCGGGGAGCATAACTGGTTGTAATAATCTCATAACCGTAGGAACTGGAGGAGCACGGGAGGGGGGAGGGTATAATAATAAGTTTTCTTATGTATAGAATACTATAGAAAACAAAACTGCGTTATGTTTGCGTCTTCTCAATAATTACGTCCTAGAGGAAATTAGATGCAACCATTCTTGAGAGAAACATCTACCGGTATATATCCGAAATTGGTTGGGGGTTCATCAAAAATCATGTACTTATCTATAGTGAACAAGTGTTTCCATTCATCTAAAATATCCTTTTTCGAATTCTTTTTTAATATTCACTAAAATACTTGTAATACCTGTATATTAATAAATATACATGTACATGTAGATAAAGACATTATGTATGCATGCATGTATAATAACTGGATCAAACCATGTGCTATTTTTTGTTAACAAAGGTGTGCTCTTCAAATGATGGGGAATTATTCCAGTATAAGTACATCTATTTCGGCGACTCCATTTTTGTGAACTGACATTTTTATATACCTTAATGGACTAATTTTGACACATGTTTGCCAGCAAGGCCGTAACTACCATTGAGGCAAGTGAGGCAAATGCCTCACTAAATTTTTGTAATTTTCTGAAAAGTGAAATTTTTTTACATTGAACTTATGAATTATGTGTGTTTTCAACTTTTCTTTTCATTTCTTTAAATCGTTCAGCTCACCAGGTGCCTCTATCATTATACCCCCCGCATGAAAAGTGGGAGGGTATATAGTAATCGGTATTTCCGTCCGTCCGTCTGTACGTCCGTCCGTCCATCCGGCTGTTACGCTTTGGGGTACCCATCTCTTATCCGCAACTCCTCTCATACCACTGAAGGAAAGTTAATGAAACTTTCACAGATTCTTAATTACATATTACCATTGTGCACCTCCTATTTTACTTTTTTTGATCTGACGTATATTTTTGATTTTCCAGAGCAAAACATGGATTCTGCCATTATATTCATATGGCAGGCGGGGGGTATCATTTAGTGAGCTCATTGCTCACGGTACCTCTAGTTTTCATTTAGAATGTAACATAAAATAATTCAAAATATTTGTTTTGTAAATTGTTTGATTGTTTAACATCCCTTCTAAGAATTTCTCTTTCATATTGAGACATGCACCACTACTAGCCGATGGAGAGCAGCAAGTTTTAAATCTGTTCTAGCTTTCAGGGTCACTGAAGATGATTGAACACTTATTCAATTATCTTGACATAGGACCTCGGTTAATACGGTCTCAAAGTAAAGCAGTTTTAACCTGGAGAGAACACAATCATCCATATACTAGTAGTCCATTGGATTTTCTCTCCCCAAACACATTCTCTCTCTCCATAGGAAGTTTTGGATATGCAGCCGCAATATTTAGTTTCTTCCTAAGTCATCGATTTACCTTTCCTAAAGTTACGACATAACTTAGGAATATCCTAAGATAAGACGAGGTTAGTGAAACGGATAAGTAATGAACTTAGGAAAAAGTTCTTTCCTAAGATATAACTTAGTCCTAAGTAGGCTTTGTGAAACGGGCCCCTGTTCATGTTTTCAATTTCATTGAATTTCTTCCTATTAGGGATCGAAGACCTTAATTCCTGCTAACATAAAGAATATGGTATAATTTAATATCTATTTTTCCTGAAGATGGTTCTAGAAGAATTTGATTTCTACAATTCATTAATTATTAATTAATATTTTTACTTACTTATAGTTTCCTTTCTGGTGATAACTTGAATCATTTATTATCAAAATGTGTTTCATATTCAATAACAAACATTTATAAATACCTTTGTTGCTGGACATTTCTCTTTTCAGTATCTTTTTTATCTGTATTTCCATGTTTGATTGAGAGATACGCAATTCCCGAATAGCCTCCATTGTAAATGATTCACTGGGATAATTATCCATTGAACTCGAATACAAAGGCTGCGACTTTGTAGAATACAGCGTCACAAGGAGACCGATGACTAAAGAGAGCATTTTAAGAAATATGAGAATACGACCAGTTGAAGAGTCGATCACGTTTTATTTCGATTATTCTTATTGGCAGTTTCGTTCATCTTTCGTGTGTATTTCTTCTGAAATGTATTTTTATACATGTGCACGTACTACGTGGACCACTTAAATATTGTGAAGATTTTTTTTTCGATGATTATTATTCATAACAAGTAGGATTTGACCAACTTCCTTCCTTTTCCCAGTTTTTAAAACAGCCTCTTGATTTGACATTTGCTGAAAAATTTTGCATTTACATTTTATTTATTTTACAGTATTATAGATATTTATTGTTAGTACAGTTTATCGTTAGAAGCGTAGCCAAGCACATAATTTTTGCAAATTGTTAAAGTTAAATGTATGCTGTTATAGATATAATCAGAAAATCCTTTTGATGACCCCCTGATGAGAGTGTTTCATTTGCTGTCAATGATTTTAATACCAAAGCAACATTGCAAGCTTGTTAGAAGTATTCCAACTACTACTACATATACTAGTATAGGGAGGAATTTCGCTTACTGTTTAAAAACACAATGGACTAATTTATTGAGTTTATAAAATGATAACTTAAGTTATAGTATGTGTCCCTTTTTATAGAATTTTCAATTAATACTTTTTTATTAAACTGATTGACAATCAATAAATATATGCAATTTTCAAATAATTTTGTTTTATAATTTTTTTTGTCATTGCTTTTGAAAGGAAAGGAAAAAAAATAAATCTAGAATTAGAAATATACGAGGGCCGTTCAAAAATTACGCGGACTTGCTGCACAGAAAAAATATTTGACGACATAATCGGGCAAAATGTTGCACATAATATAAAAGAATCTTTACTTATATGGTCTACAAAATTTCATATCAAAATGTTGTAAATCGGTATCAATTTTGAGTGATTTTTCAGGACATATCATTTAGTCACGGAGCAGCAAAATCTTCGACGTCACAGATTTTATAAAAAAAATATGTGATTGAGCTTTAATTTTCTCAACATTTTCCCAAGAGTACCTGTACAGTTTGAATCATATTATCTAATCAACATCAAAACACCATTTCTTGTCAAGCTTTAAATCTATTAAACAAATAAAAATATTCTTTTTTGTTTTAAAACCAAAAACTGCAGGTATTTATGAAAAAAAAATGTGTGATATTGATGACTCTCAATCACGTTCTTTACATTCCAGATAAAGTTTTCTTTAATAATCCTCTTCCCGTCCTCCCGTATAGCCATTTTACAGAGGTCTAATGGTCTAATATTCCTATCTTCTATTTGTGGACGAATGTAACGAATACCCTAGTTTACTACATGTTTTATTATGCATATTTTGGATCTATGTTGGCGATATCTCGAGCATTACACATAATTTAACTAAAGTGTGGTGCGCCGTCAATTCACGAGACGTCATTTTCACAATCGTTTTCACGGGGATCGCATCAGAGGAATATTGCTATATTTCTATTAGTACTTCAAATATCGAGCCAGAAATACAAATACATAATAATAGAACAATTTAAAGATACATTTGAGAAAATTGTCGAAAAATATTGCGAATTATAGAAAATAAATGAGTTAAATTTTGGATTCCGCATGCTTTTGCTTCAAATTTTTTGTCGTGCTCCGTACCTCTAAATCAGCGATATTAATATAACGATAATTTTAGTATAATTTTTTTAAAATACAGAAATTTTGCCCAAAATGTATTGGAATCTTTGAGATACATATTTCTGTGAAATTTCATAACTCTATGACGTCTGTAAGAGTAAATCATAGAAAAGTCCGCGTAATTTTTGAACGGCCCTCGTAATATATAAAATGTACATTAAATAGAAGAATATTCTTATTTTGTGTTCAAACTTTCTGATGAAAATATGGTTTTCTTTTAATAAAAAAATATAGATTAGAAATAAATTGTCGCGCATATTCATAAAATTACCAACACTACAAAATAATATAAATACTAAAGCTAACGTCTACTCATTATGAAATTATAAAGTAAAATTTCTAGGAAAGTTATCAGTGTTAGGCTTTTTACCATGGAACATGGAGGTTTTATTTCAATAGTGATTAAAATGTGGTGCTGTTTTGAAACCTATTTTAACTTCTTTTGAAATAATCATTCACAAGTAGTCGTTATTTTAATGGTTAATTCAATAAAATAATGAATTAAAAATGTTGGAGAACATAATGAACAATGAATCTTTATATTTTATAATAGCTAAACTATTTCAAAAAGTCTTTCAATGTTGTTTTATTATTGGAATAATAATAATTAACTATCAAAATAATTATTTAAATCACTTTTGAAATGATTATTTAGATCCTTATTGAAAACTTTATTTCAAAAGTGAACATCATTTCAATTGTGTTTGCAGTCTATTTTTGATATTGAAATGCACTCTAAACCACTTATCAATAGTTGTCGTATTTTAATAGTGCTTGCAACAGAACAGACTTTTGTGCCTAAATAGAGATGATTTTTTTGTGTATAACAGTAGTAAATAAATAAATATACTACTACTACTTACAAAGAGACAGCTATAGGTAATTGGCAGATTAGATTATTGAAAATAAGCAGCTGTACATTCCTGGCATGCGGCCGTAGAGAAAATCTGGAGTATTGTAAATCTAAATATTTAATTAATAAAACTTAAAACAAAAATCAAAATAGATATGGGTATAAATATATCAAGCGTTTCGAATAATATTTAATAATTATTAAAGATTTTGAACTAGTTGTGGCAGTATTTTTGGGTCACTTTTTTAACCTTGTTTATACAATGCGATGAAATAAATCAAGAAAAGTGCACATTTTATTATTTTGTAAATAAATATAAATTTTTTTTTCAGACTTGTATACAAAAAATTCTCTGGTCCTACTTCGCATTTTTTCAATCGAGAGAGATACTGATCTGCAACTACAATTTTTGCATGTTAATATAATATGAAATAATGATTGGAGAGAGAAAGAGAGAGAGAGAGAGAGAGAGAAAGAAAGAGAGTTTGAGAGTTTATTCAGCTCACAATTTTATACAAATACTACTTAGCAGTGTATAAGAAAAATTGTGTTCTTCTACTAATTGTTGACTGCAAAAAATATCTTGTGGGAAAATATTTTTTAAAAAAAGGAAGAATGAGCATACTTAATCTGAAGTGCCTGTTGCTCAAAATTCAGGAGAAAAAGAAATATTGTAGTATAAAAGGAAGAGATTAGGAGGATTACGTGAAAAGAAAAATCCAAATCTGATAATGTTTATCACCGTCGCTCAAGATATTTATTTTTCAAAGTCATGTTCTAAATGTTTCAAAAACGATACATTCTTTTGGGCATTATTCATATGTCTCGGAAACCAGAATTAATACCTTTTTCATTAAACAGCTTAGATGTACACATGTAACCAGATTATTAGGATAGTTTAAGTAGGATATTTAGATAACACACTTAAAGTATACTCCATACATGATATGTCGCTGTTCCAAATCTTACACGATTGTCGATAGTTATATCTAATATTAAGTGCAATTTTGCTCACTTTCAATTTTGAATAGTAGATATAAATAAGTTTCCCATTGCATAAAAGATAATTACGATCAATGAGTCAAGACAGAATCATGTGAAGCCCATGATATCAACTTTATATATATATATATACGACGGGCGTTCAATAAATAATGACATTAGGGCTCAAAAAGAAGCAAAGATCGCTTTTCTATGATTTTGTCGTAATGATTAAACTAAAATATTCTCTTTTAATTAAAAGACATGTCCGTAACATTTTTATTTAATATCTAATTGTTTTTATAACACAGTTTTGAGTATGACCCTTCATATACTGGAAAATGGCAGCTCCTATGATTTGCTGTGCTTGTTTTTTTTTCTCTCTGAAATGTGTTTCCCTAAGTTTGGGAAATGAAACAAGTCAAAGATTGAAAGATCTGGCGAATATTGTTGATGTGACAAAACATTAACTTTCTGTTTACCCCAAAACTCCTTTACTCTTCATGGCCTGTTTCTTTAAAACAGTATGAACTATCCTCAATATGATATCTATCCAATTTGCTATGTAACTTAAAGTCAATAAAAAATAATCTGTGATAATTTGTTGAATTATCGCTAATATACATTGGCTGTTGTATGTCCTTGTTGTCAAGGAGGGTACCCATTTTTGATGACCATTGTATAATTTTTGTTAATTGAAATCCACCTATTCATGTGTGTATGAAACAGACATAAGTTGCTGTAAATTTCACATATTTCAGTTAATATATTTTTGGGGAATTAACAAATTTTAAAGCAGCTCTAATGGCGCACTCAATTTTACTCTAATTTTCTTATTCTTGACCATTCATTTTTAACGCAGTGTCTCGAGTAGCCCTTGTTTTCCAGCTTCCCACAATGAAATTATGCGATGAAAAGTGGTCACATAAACTGTTATCAATTCATTAAAGATCCAATAATCAGAAAAAGTGAAGCTTAATGTCATATGCTTTCTATGTTGTATGTCATGGAGCTGATGCCATTACTTATTGAACGCCCCTCGTAGTTCATTGATAACTTATTATATTTCCAGTGCATTGAATTTTCGTCTAAATTTTTAACTCATTACTACTTATGGATGTGACTGGTCGATATTACTATTTTATGGATGTGACTGGTCGACATAACTACTTTATGGATGTGACTGGTCAATATTACTACTTTATGGATGTGACTGGTCGACATTATTACTTTATGGATGTGACTGGTCGACATAACTACTTTATGGATGTGACTGGTCAAATTTGCTACTTTATGGATGTGACTGGTCGACATAACTACTTTATGGATGTGACTGGTCGACATTACTACTTTATGGATGTGACTGTGCGACATTACTACTTTATGG